CTGGATTAACGACGGATTTACCCGTTATTTCCCGATCATGACAAGGAGCACACGGCGGGTGTGACCAGTCAGCAGAGGATGCTCACTCCTCCATGGTACCTGATCCCACCTCTGATGTTTTAGAGGTCCGTGTTTGCTCTGCTCCTATTTTGTATTGTTTTATGGACTTTGGTATTGAATACTGTTCGTTATCTCCATATCCTTCATTACTGTAATTGTGGTCTCATCTTATCCAAGATTCCATGATTTGAATACAATTGAATCTTCATTACTTAATGATGTTTGCATATAAATATGACCTATTCTATACACTACCCTGTAAAATGTGAATCATGTTTTATCATTGCGATGTTTTAAATTCTTTACTTGTCCAGTAACTGTGGTTCTTAAGAAGAGAAGATTTTAAATGATTCCACTAGATTTTCAATTCTTCTTAATAATTTTCTCCCCTTGAGAGGGTTGCCTTTCCCTTGGACTTGCTGAATCCCTTTTTATCCAAAGATGTAAATTTAACATAGTGGTTCTTGAGAGGTCACTGATGCTAAGTAACTCACAGATAATGTTAGCAGCTTACCCCAGCTTTCTTCTCATGTTAGCTAAAAATGAGTTATAAGGTGCTAATTTTATGATAGAACATAATTAAATATAGAGCTAGTCCATCTTTAAATGATCAAATATAAACCTTTAATGTGCATATTTGTAATACATTATTATAATTACAGCATATAACATTGTAATTTATTTTTAATCTATAGCAAGTATATCCAAGAGGTCAGTTCTATTGTACAGACACCACAACAGACCATTATAAAGACGTGCAATCGTTAAGTCATATACTATACACGTGTTTGTATCTGATGTATTGTCTGTAGGGTATTATGTATTCAATTCAGTGATCGGGAATAATATAATACACAGTCTGCATCAAAATAGAACCTCACCATGACAGTATTTCACAGCTTTAACATCTATGTCAATAACATACTCTGAGAGATAATTGGCAAACGCGTATAAGCTCCATCTGCTCTTTTTGGTTTATCTTTGAGCTTTTCTGATTAAGAATGCCCTGCGTTTGATTGTAGTTTGTAATGTGTTGTTTGTAATCTGTAAGTTTTCACATTTTGACTTGGTCTTTTTCTATGGAACCACTAAGCCAAAATTATTTCATATTTAGACGTTACGGTCTGGGTGTTCAGGAGGCTGGGGGTGGGGGGTCAACAAATTAACCGTCAGATATAACTCTTTTTAAAAGTATACATTAAGTTGTCAACTTTCATTTGGCAAAGAAAAATCTCAGTTTTAAAAATCTGATCATTTTTGTATATCTTATACCGGTATAAAGAAGATCAATATAGTACGAAAATGGTCACAACCACCCAGCCCTCTCTAATTTTAAATAATACATTAATACATGGGGGATTTCAAAAACAGTTACACAATTCTCAAAGGCGGATCCAGGGCCGGCGTGCGCCCCCCCCCCTCCCCTCCCCGTTTGAAGTTATCCTATAATCATGGAAAAAACATCTCTTATTTGTAAAAACTTGTCAGCTTGTGAAGCCCCCGGACCCCAAAAAAGGACCTTGCCTTAGACCCACTTTGGGCTTCAGTACAGCCGACAGACCCCCCCCCTCCTTTCTACTACGCCCTCCCGTTACGAAATTCCTGGATCCGCCACTAATTCTTGTTATATTGTTACTGACTCATCCCCAAGTAGCTTGGATTGACATTTTGTTAAGCCGTGATCCGTTGTGAGCTCTGATGAGCCAAACTAAAAGGTGTCAACATTTTAGCGGGAATATGGAGGCGGAGAGCGCTGAGTCCCGTGTGCCTCTTGTAACGAAAGCTTTCAGACTTTGCAATGAAATAAAATAAACATGAGACGAATGCTACGTGATAGACAGTAGACACACAATCAAGACTTTATTTAGACACAGTATGAAATTTCAACAGCAGGATATTACACTAATGTTAACATGTTTTAAGTACAGCTCTACTGTTGTAGAGGTGTATTTTTATACCCCCCGCTTGAAAAGTGGGAGGGTATATAGTAATCGGTATTTCCGTCCAGCCGTCTGTCCGTCCGTCCGTCTGTTACGCTTTGGGGTACCCATCTCTTATCCGCAACTCCTCTCATACCACTGAAGGAAATTTAATGAAACTTTCACAGATTCTTAATTACATATTGCCATTGTGCACCTCCTATTTTACTTTTTGATCTGACATATATTTTTGATTTTCAAGAGCAAAACATGGACACTGCCATTATATTCATATGGGACGCGGGGGGTATCATTTAGTGAGCTCATTGCTCACAGTACCTCTAGTTGTGATAGGTAACTATACAGTTTCTAATTTCGTTGTTTTCTAGGCATGGCATGGAAAGACCCACAAATTCATGAGCGCTATTTAAAAATTTTATATGTATAACTTCTAAAGATTCTCCCAGCAAACCAATATTTTTTCTCAAACCTCGAAAAGTTGATCCCGCGAAAATATATGGAGATTGATGATTTCACAGTACATGTGTCAATAGTTTTTAAAAAGCCGAAGTACTTTCTTCACGGGGTCTTAATTCTACGGATTCTCTATTTCTGTTCAATCTGCGGGTTGAAAATTAAGCGAATTTCTTGGATAACCATTGAATGTTTTGTTTTGACTTTACGGTTCATTATACCCCCGCTTGAAAAGTGGGGGGGGGGGGGGGGGGGGGGGGGGGGGGGTATATAGTAATCGGTATTTCCGTCCGTCTGTACGTCCGTCCGTCTGTCCGTCCGTCTGTCTGTTACGCTTTTTCTCTTATCCGCAACTCCTCTTATACTACTGAGTGAAATTTAATAAAACTTTCACAGAATCTTTATTACATATTGCCATTGTGCACCTCCTATTTTACTTTTTGATCCAACACATATTTTGGGTTTCCCGGCCACAGCAAAACATGGACTTTGTCATCAGTTATAACCATATGGGAGGCGGGGGGTATCATTTGGTGAGCTCATTGCTCACAGTACCTCTAGTTGATACTCTGATAAGAGAGATAACTCTTAATAACATAAAAGTCTATTATTCCTTTATAGATTTGCAAAGTTGAAATGTCTTTTTGGTCCAATTTTGCCCAGCAAGCTATGCTATAATTGTTTGTATTTTTACTTATAAAATACAATTGTTTCGGAAAATCATTAAGGTTCATACAACATTTTATATGAGTGAGCAGAGGGTTTATGAACCTTAAGTACGGGTTTTTTTGACAAACGTGTGACCGTGAAATTAGCGTTATTAAATCCCATGCTAAAATACATTTTAATAAGAGTTTCGTTTCTTGTACAATCTTTCTTTTTATTTGGCTCATTTTGATAAAATCAATATATCATTTAGAACAGAAAGAAAAGAAATAAATAACTGGATTAATGACAACTTACCTGTTCGTGCGTGATTTTCTTCTCGATTTTATAAGATATTCTAGTGAAGATTATAATCTCGAAAGAAAAATCGATCATGCGAAATGTAAAAACCATATATATGGCTTAACGAGCTAAAAATTTTATGATGCGTTTCCATGACTCGACAAAACGGGAGAGAAAGGCTTGAAAATGGTATAATTAGTATAATTATGTGATGTAACGTTAAGACATCTCTAACAAAAAGTGCATGTCAGCTACTGAGCTAGCAGCGATTGGATATACCCTGTTGAACTGAGGACGAACATGGAAGATGTTACGAAATTCCTGGATCCGCCACTAATTCTTGTTATATTGTAACCGACTCATCCCCAAGTAGCTTGGATTGACATTTTGTTAAGCCGTGATCCGTTGTGAGCTCTGATGAGCCAAACTAAAAGGTGTCAACATTTTAGCGGGAATAAGGAGGCGGTGAGCGCTGAGTCCCGTGTGCCTCTTGTAACAAAATATTTCAGACTTTGCTGTGAAGTAAAATAAACATGAGACAAATGTCATGTGATAGACACACAATCAAGACTTTATTTAGATACAGTATGAAATTTCAACAGGAGGATATTACACTAATGTTAACATGTTTTAAGTATACAGCTCTACTGATGTCGAGATGTATTTTTGTGATAGATAGCTATACAGTTTCTAATTTCGTTGTTTTCTAGGCATGGCATGGAAAGACCCACAATTTTAGGAGCGCTAATTAAAGATTTTATACGTATAACTTCTAAAGATTCTCCCAGCAAACCAATATTTTTTCTCAAACCTCGAAAAGTTGATCCCGCGAAAATATATGGAGATTGATGATTTCACAGTACATGTGTCAATAGTTTTTAAAATGCCGAGGTACTTTTCTTCACGGGGTCTTAATTCTACGGAATCTCTATTTCTGTTCAATCTGCTGGTTAAAAATTAAGCGAATTTCTTGGATAACCATTGAATGTTTTGTTTTGAATTTAAGGTTCTTTGATACTCTGATAAGAGAGATGTCTTAATGACATAAATGTCTATTATTCCTTTATAGATTTGCAAAGTTGAAGTGTCTTTTTTGCCCAGCAAGCTATGCTTTAATTGTTTGTATTTTTACTTATAAAATACAATTGTTTCGGAAAATCATTAAGGTTCATGCAACATTTTATATGAGTGAGCAGAGGGTTTGTACGGGGTTTTTTGACAAACATGTGACCGCAAAAATAGCGTTAATAAATCCCATGCTAAAATACATTTTAATAAGAGTTTCGTTTCTTGTACAATCTTTCTTTTTATTTGGCTCATTTTGATAAAATCAATATATCATTTAGAACAGAAAGAAAAGAAATAAATAACTGGATTAATGACAACTTACCTGTTCGTGCGTGATTTTCTTCTCGATTTTATAAGATATTCTAGTGAAGATTATAATCTGGAAAGAAAAATCGATCATGCGAAATGTAAAAACGGTAAAACCATATATATGGCTTAACGAGCTAAAAATTTTATGATGCGTTTCCATGACTCGACAAAACGGGAGAGAAAGGCTTGAAAATGGTATAATTAGTATATAATTATGTGATGTAACGTTAAGACATCTCTAACAAAAAGTGCATGTCAGCTAGCAGCGATTGGATATACCCTGTTGAAGTGAGGACAAACATGGAAGATGATGGAACAGACGACATCTTCAGGGACATATACTAAGATCAAGCTATACTATAACACAATTGCTAAGCGGTGTTTATTCTTTGACTAATGGAATTAATGCTGATTTTATTAGATCGGATCAATTAATCGGACAGTACGGAACAGGGTCTATCAGTGGCGTGTTTATGAATTAATGAGCGTGACCATCTCTGGGCTTTGATGGTTAGTGGCAGGTAAACAAAGCTGACCTCTCACTGTCTTGTTTTCCATTGATGCCTTTGACTTCTCACGGCCGTGGTCAGAATTCAGTTGCATGTTTCAGTGTTTTGGTGTTTGTAATGTGAATAAAGTGCGACAAAATGAAGACTTCATACAATCTGGAAAACCATTCTGATGGTGATGACCGGCAGGTCTATAATAAGGTAAGATATTGTGATGGAAATGACTTGGTCCTTCAATGTGTGTTTGAATGCTGATTATTTTTAAAAGGAATTTGGGAATTTAAACTTAAAAGGTGTAAGGTACTTGAAAGTCCTATTCAGCTACCTTTTATGGTCCTAGTCAACTGACATTAAAAAGAGAAAAAGATCACCTCGGAAAATACACACCCTGGAAGACTTTGGCAATTGGTATACAATGTAACTCTCTGTGAGGGCTATAGGAAAAGGGGGTAAAAACTGACAAGTAAGAAGGATTGCTTCATCCGTCGGGCTCCCATCTGAAACCTCACCTCTTTCTAACTGGAAAAGTTTTGACATTTTGTAAAAAAAGAAAAAAAAATACAACATATTTTTAGTGTTAGCTAGAATGATGATCCGCGCCTGGCATTGCCTACTAATAAGATTTTCTTTTATAATCTCACAAAAGCTTACACCAAAACTGGTCAGAATTTAAGTTAGTTCACAAGAGAAATGAAGGATTATCTTAAGTAAAAATTAACAAAAGACTCTTTAACGAAAAAATGGCAATTCAAAGCAATGTTTAACTTATTAAATATTTACCATTTGTAGTGTTTACCAAGATAAATTGCTGCATAATATCATTGCTTTTTTATTGAATCTGTCCTTTGGTTGACTCGTTTGGGATTATTTGGCTTTCCCGTGGCATTTAAAGACTATATAAGAATATATTCTTTGGCCTCTTTGTACTTGACCTTTGTGGCTAAAATGAATTTTAGCACGAAAATATTTATTTGATTTACCATCATTCAATGGAGTATTTGTCTACCTACAAACAGTTGTTTATGTAAAACTGCACTGGATTTGCTAATCGCTTTACTTCGGATTATTGAAATGTTCCTGTACCTTTAAAGGTATATATGTATGTAAAGTTTAAATGTAACGAATGTCGTCATTTATATACAAAAAATAACTTCACTGAACTTTTTGAAATGTAGGTTGAAAACAGTTTTTCTGTCCGTGAAAACGGAGCACCGTTCAGCAGTATGGCAGATTTGGATGTCAGTGACGTCATCATAAAGACGGAAGCAGAGAACGAGGTGAGATGTTAAATATTTCAGCCAAAAGTTTCAATGAAAAGCTTACGAAAGTTATAGCAAATAAAATAGTAGCGGCAACGTAAAAGCTGCTTGTATGGTGGCATATTTCTGCCTCCTTTTTTTCATTTCATTTTATTCAGGTAAAAATATCACAGAATGTCATGATTCACAAATTAAAACATTACAGACTAGCATACTGCTAGAAAAAAGAAATACACACACATTATCTCAGCACTATGCTAATTAAGGAAAATCCAATTTAACATATATATGTAATTATTATTAAATACATTGCATGACATACAGATGATAGATATTACCTAAGGATAGCCCATAAAAGCCTTATTAAAAAAGCTTATTTCCAATGGGGTCCTCAAATAACAGCCATGTTAGTAAACAAAAAATAACAAAATTACATAAACATTGGAATTTAGGCAGGTACTTCTATGAGTATATTATAATGCTTTGAAAAATGACATGTTTACAGTAGCATATTTTGTCTTGATAATTATCACAAATGCTTATGATACTAAAATAATAAATAAACGATAAAATTAGACAAGCTTTTTATGTTATAACACTAGCATTTGTAGATAAAAAAGATTTTACAGCTTTCTTAAAACTTTGTTTTGTTTTCACCTCTTTAATCTCCAGTGGCAATGTATTCCAATCTTTGATAGCATTATAGAAAAAACATGAAGACTCTTTCCCTTTTATCTTTGGAATAATAAAATTCTTATTTGTTGCACTTCTTGTGATATTATTATTTAATACAAAATGTTCATGGAGGTAAGCTGGTGCATTACCATGATATATATTAAAAACATGAATTAATCTTAATTGTTTAGCTCTATCCTCCACTCTTAACATATTTAGAGAGTTTAAAATATTGTTAGAAATACTCTCTCTAGGACTAAGGTTTAAAATGAACCGTTCTACTTTGTTCTGGGTTACTTGTAATCTGTGTTTAAGTTGCTTGTTTATTCCACAATACCAAGAAGAACTGGCATAGTCAAAATAACATTGTATCAAGGCAGAACATAGGGTCTTTCTAGAATGTGTACTAAGACAGGATGCATTTCTATATAAAAACTTAAGTCTAGCATTAACTTTTTGTATGATACTTAAAACAATATTTTCACATGAAAGAAACTTGTCAATACAGATTCCTAAATATTTAACACTGTCAGAACCTTTAATAATGTGACCATTACACACAATTTTAAAATCTGTGATACTTTTAAGCTTTCTTGGAGGACCAAATAAAATAGATTCTGTCTTACCTAGATGGGGTGACAATCTATTGTCAACTAACCAAGAAGAACATTTGTCAAGAACAATGCCCAGTTTTTGAGCAATAATAACAGGATCTCTGTGTGCATAAAAAATGGCACTGTCACCCGCATATAAAATTAATTTACAGTCATCATCAATATTGACAGTCATATCGTTAACATGTATTAAAAATAAAAGAGGTCCTAAGATGCTGCCTTGAGGAACACCACAATTTACAGTATTAAAGTCTGAAGAAGTATTGTTGACATGAACTTGTTGTTGTCTACAAGACAGATAAGATTTGAACCACTCAGTGGATAAAACTCCTAAAACTTTTAACTTATCACATAAAATTGTATGATCAACAGTGTCAAAAGCTTTTTGTAAATCCAACATTACCATACCTGTAAAAAGCCCTTTGGATGTATTACTTTTAATAAAATCTAACATATGTATTAAACAAGTATCTGTTGAAAATTTGTTTCTAAAACCTGATTGGTAAGAATACAACAAGTGATTATTGTTTAAAAAATCTAAAAGTTGAACATGGACACATTTTTCTAAAATCTTTGAAACTATACATAATATACTGACTGGCTATATAATTTCCCACTTCAAGGGAGTTTCCTTTCTTGAACAGAGGCTTGACTCTTGCCATTTTAAAATCATCTGGTACAATACCGGTGGTTATAGATTTGTTTACAATGGACATTATAGGTTCCTTAATATAAAAAGCACCATCTTTTAAAAACCTTGCAGGTATATTATCTAAACCAGTGCTTTTATTTACATTCAAACTTCTTAGTTCTTTGTATATAAAATCTTCAGTCACAGGTTGAAGTACAAAAGTTTTGTTTTCTATGTTTTTATCTGCATAAAACTGTCTAAAAACCCTTGAGGTGACAGAAAACATACGAGTATGAAGGATTAGGTAATTTACTTACAAGTTTTAATGCAATAGTTGTAAAAAAAACAGTTAAAATAATCTGCTAAAGTTTTCCCTTCATGTTGTACTATACCATCTATGTTTAAGACAATGTTTTCACTACTTTTTTGTTTATATTTATATCCTATGTTCTTGAGTTGTTGCCACAATTTTTTAGGCTCTGACCTATTTTCTTCAATTTTGTCTTGAAAGTAAGAGGATCTAGCCTTCCTTACTTCTCTCTGCACTTGATTTCTCAATTTACAAAATATCTTATTGTCTTCCTGACTTTTATGCTTTCTATATAGATATAAATGTTTATCTCTATCTCTAACTTCAATTAAGCGAGATAAATTAAATGTTGATGGTAAACTTACTTAATATTAAAACCAGTATACATGTACGACATCAGGGAAACAAGATTATTTTGTTAACATGCAAGAAATCATCATATTTATGTCAACATGCGACTTTTTAGTGTCAACATGCGACTTATTTTTGTCAATATGCAAGTTCACTATCTTTCAACATGCAAGATATTTATCTCATCTAGCAAGCTAGGTTGTCAGTTGCAAGTCAACATACTTGTCTCGTACGTCGCCATAATTAGCTTGCATGTGAACATAATTATCTTACAGTTTGATATAAATAGGTCGCGTGACTATATTTATTCTTGCATGTTCACATGAATGAGTGCATGCCTACTTAATGATGTAATTTTTGTATGTGTGAGGGGGAGTGGTTAAGAATTTGCCGAAGATGGGAGCATTTGTTAATTCGTAAGCTAAAATATGGATTTTTAACTTTATACTCTCTCTCCTACTTGGTTATTTCAGGTTCATCTCTTTCTATTGCATGTAAAACTACAGCATGTATTTTTGTTAATTAGCTCAACTTTAATTAAACTATTAGATATTGTTTGTTCAGGACACGAGAGACAGACATAATGACAGTCTTATCACCGACCTTGATGACGTCAGTGTATTATGTCATGAGGAAGAGAAACCAAGATCAGAATGCTTTAACGTGAATAGTAAGGTAAAGGTTACACTGACTTTGACACCTTTAACACTAATAAATCCTATGAATTGCACGAAGATTTTCTGACGTTCTTATTGAACAAATAATTATTTCTGTCGCTCTAAACACTGCTTTTTTCATGTATTATTTTACTGGATATCTCACTTTCTTTTTAGGTCACCTGAGTAAACTCAGGTGACCTATTGCTATCCGTTTTCGTCCGTCGTCGTCCGTCGTTCCTCGTGCGTTAACATTTAAAAATTTTCAGCTTCTTCTCTGAAACCGCTGAACCAATTTCAACCAATTTTGGCATATAGCATCTGTGGGTGAAGGGGAACAAAAACTGTGAATTTCATGGTCTCTGCCCCCCTGGGGCCTGGGGGTGGGGCCAAAACCACTAAAATTAGTGCAATCTTTAAAAAACTTTTTCTTTATTCCTGGACATCAAGCAGTCAAACTGTGGGTATGATTGTAATCAGCATTGAGTCCTCTACCAAAATTGTGAAATTCATGGCCCCAGGGTCAGGGGTTCTATTGCTATGGCGGGGCTTCATTGATTATATAGTGAAAATGCATTATTTCTTTGAAAATCTTCTTGTCTGCTCCTGAGTATTAAATAAACTAAGTACATAGTTATGATGAGCAAGAGTGCCTCTAACAAAATTGTGAATTTTATGGCCCCAGGGTCAGGGCGTTAGGGCGGGACTATATTGATTATATATTGAAAATGCATTATTTCTTTAAAAATCTTTTTCTCTGCTTCTGGATAGTAAATTAACAAACTAAGTGCATAGTTATGATGAGCATGAATGCCTCTACCAAAATTGTTAATTTTATGGTACCAGGGTAAGGAGTTCTGGTGTTAGGGCGGGGCTGTATTGATTATATAGTGAAAATGCATTATTTCTTTGAAAATCTTCTTCTCTGTTCCTAAGTATTAATCTAATCAAATACATAGGTTATGATGAACAAGAGTACCTCTACCAAAATTGTGAATTTTATGGCCCCAGGGTCAGGGGAAATCTGGTGTTTAGCATGGGGCTCTATAATGATTATATAGTGAAAATGCATTAATTCTTTGAAAATCTTCTCTACTTCTGAGTATTAAATATACCAACTAAGGAAATAGTTATGATGAGCAAGAGTGCCTCTTCCAAGTTGTGAATTTTATGGCCCCAGGGTCAGGAGTTCTGGTGTTAGGGCGGGGCTCTATTGATTATATAGTGAAAATGCAGTATTTCCATGAAAATCTTCTTCTCTGCTCCTAGGTATTAAATAAACTGACTAAGTACATAGTTATGATGAGCAAGAATGCTTCTACCAAAATTGTGATTTTATTGCCCCAGGGTCAGGGGTTATGGTGTTAGGGGGTGGCTCTATAATGATTATATAGTGAAAATACATTACATATATGAAAATCTTTTTTCTCTACTCCTGGGTAATAAGCAGATGTTCTACCTATATAGTTATGATGTGCAAGGGCTCTTCTTCCAGAATTATGAATTTCAAGGCCTGTGGGTAAGGGATACCAAAGGGGGGGGGCTCTACTTATATACTGAAAATGAATTGTTTGAAATCTGCTCCTTGGTATTAATCAAACATTTTTGATAAGCAAGTGTGCCTTTTCAAAAATTGTGCAATGTGTAGACCTAGGGTCAGGGGTTCATGTATGATAGGGGCACTTCTGATTATTGCTGAATATTACTGATTAGTTGAAATGCATTTTTGTTCCCCTACCCTGCTTATGGGTATTAAGTAACCAAACTAAACAATTAATTGTTAAGTGTATAGTTATGATTAACAATGGTGCCTCTTTCAAAATTGTGAATGCCATGGCATCTAGCTTAAAACATGAACCAAATTCAATCATTTGAAAGTTGTTGCATGAAGCTCAGGTGACCTATAAGGCCCATGGGCCTCTTGTTCTATTTACCCATATGACCAATTGTCTCACTCATTTTGCACATTCTTTCACAATGCTGGGAAGAAATTGTATTTTATTTGGTAGTGGACGATAGTCCGCAATAACATAGCTCATTTTAACCGAACATTTACATTTCAACAAATAATGGCCTAACAATAAGAAAAACGTCTGCAATTAACTTATTGAATGTTGTATTTGCTGAAAAGGTAATTGAATCTACCATAGATCTTACGAAATGATGACTTCAAACGAGTCTGTTGACATAATTGTTTCATCAACTTGATGGCCAATAAGTTACCTCATTTTAGTAATTGTCTGGCGCATGCTCTTGCAAATCGAACAACCGACAGAAAAAATCCCCATTACAGGTTACTGCAAAAGTTATGGAAATTAATGGTTGAAAAGTTAAAGTCATCACGTTTATCATAAGATTTTGTTGTTAGATTACCATTAACGTCTTTTTCAGGTAAAATTTCCAAATATGACACTTTACGGATGTGTCAGACTCTGTACGGAAGCGTAAATGGCTCTACACTTGTTTAGTTATGACTTTGTATATTGTCTTATATTTTATCGACTTATCAACATGTAAAGTGTTATACCTTCTTATCTATGCACATATTTTAAATTGTATCAAGAGTTCTTAATATAATTGATGGCAACTTCTTTTGTTCAATAGATTTTATTGCTTTAAGTTTTATCGACTGAAATAATAAATTGATTTTCAGATATTGGTTAAAACAAGATATTTATTTATATCGGTATAGTATTGTTGATATGATGAAATAAAGATATAGTTACATCGATTTTAATTTATGAATATTTTCGATTAAGAAGTCAGAATAAAGTGTTTTTGTATTATTTTCGCGGGGGCGGGAATTCCAATGATTCTTCACTTCACTCGGGATTCAGTAAAAGCTTATGTACATGTATCATGTACGATTAAAGGCTGAATCAAATTAAAAAGTATACTCCAGTATTGAAAAAGGGATCCATAGTGGACTATTGCACCGATCACCACTTTTGAAGAGGGGGAGACAATCTTGAGTAGCTTTGTGCCCCTCATCCAGCTTTAAAAAAAACTAAGTATAACAGAGATCTATTAATATGTCCCAAAATTTAAGAAAATTCTCGCAGTTAGATTATTAAATCCTTGGGGTGTTTTGCTTGTTATATATTTATTTTGGCTGACACTACACTTTCCTCCTTTAAACATTGTGACTAAGCTTATACAGATTGGATGAAATCAAATTATTTTATATTATTTAAAGCATAAGACGTTAGATCTGGTGTTTATATTTTTATGCACGGGGGGTGGGGGTTCAAGACTGTTGAGGTTCGCATTCATGAGTCAGGTCCTACATGTATGTATAACACAGAGTGGAACAACATTAAATACTTACAAAGTACATATATAATCAGTGTTACTTTTATAATACATAGTGTTACTTTCTATTTTCGCTTCATTAGCAATTAACAATCCCCCACTGAACTCAAGAGATATAGGCAGTAAACAATGATAGAATATAACAGATCCCCTCTTCAGAAGTAGTTATGGGTACATTAACCCTCTATGACAATGGTAATAATCTAACTGATGATGTCTCTCCATCTCCCTTTTTCAAATATTTTTGAATTTTGTTTCAGTCTATATAATCGTACACAATAGCAAATGCATGGTACATAAGCTTCCTAAGTGAAAAGAAGATTCATTAGAATTCCCGCCCCCGCCAAATTAATTCAAAAACACCTTTTTCTGACTTCTCGAAAATATCCATATATCTATATCGATATAACTTTTATATCTAAATATTTATTTCTTCATATAGACAATACTATATTGACATGATTGAATATTTTGTTTCGAACGATATTTCAAAATTAGTATAATATTTCAGTCGATAAAAGTTAAAGCAATAAAATCTATTGAACAAAAGAAGTTGCCTTTAATTATGTAAATACAGCTCAATACAATTCAAAATATGTGCATAAATAAGGAGGTATAACACTTTATATGTTGATAAGTCGATAAAATATAAGACAATATACAAAGTTATAACACAACAAGTGTAGAGCCATTTACGCTTCCGTACTCTGTAGTATCTTTTATTTCAAGTTCCCCGGGATATTTGTCGACGTAAGAATGGAATTGACCATAAGATTGTTAATTGTCAATACGTCGTCGATATATCTACATGTACATGTCGAGTTGAAAGCCAATGCAATTTAATTAAGGCCATTTAAAAAAAAATGTTTGCTTGCCCCCTCCCGAATCAGAGTAAAATTATTGGGTCGATAGGTTGGAAAATCTTTTTTCCAGAAAATTTCAATATATTTGTCAACTGGATAGGAAGAATAAAAAGGGGAAAAATGTCGTGTGTTGGAATGTAAAAAAGTTTTGAGTCGGGCCATTTTAGTCGGCCGGTCGTGAGAGGGCAACCAAACAATTTCTTAAAGATGGCCTTAGCCCAATTTTTTTTTTTAAAAACAATCCATGATTTCCCATTGATTTCAGTCATTACCCTTGTATGTGATGTAGCACATTGGAGTCGATTTAGAAGGAATTTCCATAGAAATAGTGATACATCAACAGTGGCCAATATAAATATCGTATATTTGAGTGTTTTTATATTTTTTCCGTTATTTCTCGATCATAACAAGGAGCACACGGCGAGTGTGACCGGTCGGCAGGGGATGCTCACTCCACCATGGCACCTGATCCCACCTCTGATGTTTTGGAGGTCTGTGTTTGCTCTGCTCCTATTTTGTATTGTTTTATGAACTTTTGAGCTTGAATACTGTTCGTTACCTCCATATGTTTCATTGCTATAAAGTTGTGACCTTTAACTCGACATTCATTCTATAACAGACGTTTTCTCAACATCAGCTACTTCCATTCGATCAAATGTTGTCTCTATATATATATACCTGTGAACTCGAGATGACAGACGCCATAGAGTATTGGTTTCTGTTTCATATTGGAATGTTTAACTGACTGTAAACGATAAGGTCCAGCTAATAGCTAAACTGTTTGAAAAATGAGATGGCTTCAGGCTTTCAATCGTCAACTTTTATTATTTATGTACTAGTAATATTCCGCAATCAACTGCATATACAGTACATGTATATGTTGTTTATGGCTCCCATCTTCTTCATACTCAAAGCTCAAGAACAATCAATTTTTGAACCAAGACAGACTATCCACAGATAGGTAAGTGGTATACAGAGATTTCAACAACCTCGTTTGAAGAAGATTTTGTAAATTCTATGGTCATTATAATGGACTTGTTGGCATTTTGTCTGTCAAATTTCATTCCCATTTTAGACCTTTGTTTTTCTGCTAAATTTGATACGAGATAATCATTCCTCCAGATCACAACATAGGGTTCTGGGTGGGTATGACCGGTCGACAGGGGATGCTCACTTCTCCAAGGTACCCAATCCCAAGTCTAAAATTACTGGGATCCCCGTTTTATGCTCTGTTCAGGCTTTCCCAGATCGTTGTTTTTCATTTCATAATTATATAAAGATAGTACATGTATGTGACTGAGGTTCAGAACTTCGTACTAGACGTATGGATTGTTATGTATCATATATCATGTTTCTTATATACTACTGTTGACAATTATATGACAGACAAAAAGTCAAATACTGAAAATATCAGCTGGTCATCATGTTTTGTATTTGCCCTTAGCGTTATATAACGTCAAAGAGCTAAAAAACAAAAGATATTGCATGACCATATCTCAGTCTAAAATTGCATTTCAAAGTACGCCAGTGTACTGAACAATGATAAAAAGAAGAACTTCCTCAAAGTCCGTTCATCGACATTTGTGGCTACTGTATAAACATTTTGCTAAGATATTAATATAAATGAACACAAAGAATTCAATTACTTTGCTAAAGTTTAATGCCTGAGGCTGAACATGGAGTCTTCAGGCATGTGATGTATATGTAAGTGTGACCTATTTTGCGTGCTGTAATTTAGTTCATTAACCTCAACTTAATATACACTGTATAAATACATACGCACATTTTTCCATATGACACTAAATCTAATGTGATCATAAAATTATATTTTCTGACAAATCATGACATATCAATCAAGACCTATTCAACTACAAAAATGATAGCATAAGATGTAGTTTATTTAATTTTTTTAGGATTCATCCAGCAAGAATAATCACATCAACGTTTTAGATGGTGTCAACACTCTAAGCGAAAACGGACTCCACAAGGCCGCGAACGAGGATGAGGTATTTATTTACCACTGAGTGTATACCTCAAGGAAATGTTTGTTATATATACTTCCTTTTATTAAGATAGAAATCACTTGTTTTTAAAATGACTTTTAAAACATTTTTGTAGACTTTAAACAATGGATGTGAGATTGAGCTAAACGCCAGTACGAACATCCATGAAGTTTCAAAGATGGGACTGAATTCAGAGGAAATGGAACGCAAAAAACTAACGGTATGTCATATTACAAGTGCTTCTCTTATTTATTTTAGAATTATTTTGTATTGTTTCACAGTCGATAATGGTGGGTGGGGTTCAAATCAATAGCTAAATCAACATGAATTATCAAAGTAAACCTTTCCAAAAATATTCATATTTTAGAATCCATCAGAAGAAAAGGAGTCTGTACAAGATGTTGATATGGAAGCTGTTAAGGTATTGTTTTGTTGTGTTAACCGTAAAATTCATTATCAAGTAATTCATATTTCAAAGTAATTATGGACTTATACTTAGATGAATATATGTATCTTCTTCATGAACTTGTCTATATACTATACATGCAAAGCTTGCTGGTTGAATTAATATGTTTCAATTTATTTTTAGGATTATGTTTTAAAAATTGTCAACCGAGCACGAGAAATAGTTCAGAAAGAATCAGAGAATAGCACAAAACCGAAGGTAAGAAAGATCATTTTAGGACTAGAATGTATGTACATGTATAATCATGTGTAGACATCAAATAAAATTAATGTTAAAATTAATTTATCAATTATAGGGAAGAATATATATTAGTTTACAAATAATAATTTTAATATTCTATCAACAAGAATATATTTTAGTGGTTATAATCTATGAATTCTGAAGAGAATAATTCAGTATCTTTCTCCAAGTTTAACACTTATCCTTTTGTTATAAAAATAGCAAATTATGCAGTCTTCCTATGAACAATGTAGACTGTGTTTATCACATTATTTCAATGTTTCTATTTTATTATATATCTACAGAACCATCGGTCCACAAAACCATGGGCACAAAGACTTCTCGAAATATTCTGCTTTCGAAGAAAATGAAAGTGCGATAGATATTCATGTGTAAAAATAAACATCATGGATATTGTGAATGAAAATTGATCAGTCGCCATGGCGGCTTCAGTTGGAAATATACTAGTACAACGACTGCGCTGGACGTCAATTTCGAGCCATTGGCTTCACTTGGAATCTGAAGAGAATGCATACCAATATGGAATTCTCTAGTAAATATTTCAGGTTGCAGTGATAATCTTTAACAAAAAAGTGAAACTTAGTTTTACTGAATGAAGTATATACTGTGACAGTTTCTATTTCATGTGGTACATATCAGAAGAGCTCAACATTGTTTTCAGACAATGCAAGTATATAAATTTATAATTTATGACCCTGTGGATTTATAACCAGTTCATTCATTCATTATTTGTCAAATGCAGTCTATTCAGTAGGCTGAATTAACCTTTCAAATAACCTACTCAGTGTATTCGATGTACATGTAAAATTACTTCCCCAATCATATTTTAAAATGTGTAGGAATAAATCGACCTTTTGTGCATGATTTAGACATTTTATAATTTAAAACAAGCATGAATTCATCGTCATTGTTCTATGATAATATCTACACATTCACTCGACATTTTAATTTTGATTTTTTATTTTATTGTAATATTGCGAAGAATAAAATATTTTTTGATGTAATCGTTTATTGTGAATATTTTGTTAGATGAACATAATTATAAACGCATGTATCATTTGTCCAATACACCGACAGCCCGTCTATTAAAAAAATCAAGACGGATCAGAATTCCAAGTCAATTCTTCCTATCTAAACGTGCATGGGATTTGCTCGAATAGAGGATTCCAAGTTAGATCTACATGGTGCAAAGTTAAAGAAAAGTATCAGGTTAAAAACTCTCAATTGCTCAAAACGTTAACATGTGTTCTAAAATGAGATACATGTAATTTCACGATTGGTCAATTTGTTCTGGATTCTGTTTTACGTACCGGTATAACTGACCAAAGAGTATACATGTTTTGCAAATTACTGAGCATTTTTGCATGGATTCCGTTTTCTATATATTACGTATTTTTCCTTAGACTGTGATCAAACAGTGCTGGTTTGTGAACTGTTTTGTATTCAGTGATTAATCATTTTCTTGCAAAACTAATATAGTAGAATATAGCTCTCTGGGACAAAAAAAACCGATCAAATATGTCATAGAGCTGTAATTTCTCCCATTGTAGAGTCTTCGCTTTACGTTGACACTTTTTCGTCGCAAGGTTTTGGGCCTTAATGTAGTATTTCTTGCAACTATCTTATTTTTGTAGTTTGAATTCTGATTGCAAAAATCGTTATTTACAAACGTACAAAAACTTTTGTTCATATGTCGATTCCATAAATCCCTGTAAACTTGATACCATAGATTCTGTTATATCATTTTTGTAGAGATTTTTTTCTGAATATAGACGATTAGAGCCAACTAACAACTAAAATTGTTTGAAAAACAAGAGGACTTCAACATTCCAGTCGTCAATTTTCTTTATTTTTGTAGTAATATCCCAACAATCAACTTCTTATGGTGTTTACAAATCTCCTAATGCAACTTGTCAAAGTCTAAAGAACGTGCTAAATGTACGATCAATTTTAAACCGAGACAGGCTACACACACATAAGTTGATGTACATGTATATGAATTTCAATGACCTCGCTTAAAGCCAACATTTCCTAAAGTCTTTGTTCGATATTATAGCTTTGTAAGCAAATATAACCTATCATTTTGGTCGTATTTTGGCTTGCTTGTTTCGTAGTTCATACCAATGGGTAATTGCAATGGTTAAGCCTTTTTAACTACGGAAAGTTCCTTCTACCTTATCAATACATAGGGTGTGACTGGTCAACATGCAAGGAATGCTTATTCCTCCTAGCCAATTATCTAACTAATTAAACAATGAATAACCTTAATCATTTATAACATTTAGCAATTATGCCTTTGAATCGATACCATTATCCAGTGCCACAAAGATGCCTTCTTAATCTGGCAAAGTATAAATCAAGTTTTCTAGATTTTACAAATGACACCGGAAAAGGCGGTTTAATAGAAAATTTTTCACTCTTTTTTTCTGCTACACAAATTACTATTACAGCTAACAAACCATGTCTGTAAAAAACACAAATCATACACGTAAGTGGCATATAGAACAATGTTGAAAGTGTAAAACACTTCTAATTAAAATACATGTAATGAACAAAATCATATAACATCTTAAATTCTTCATTATTGATCCTCCAGCAGTTTCTTGAGCTCCCCACTAGAGTCCTTGCCGACCACTTGATCCCCGCCACCAATGAATTTCCCCTTCACAAAGACTCGGGGTACCTGAAATAAAATAATCAAATGTACTCTTCTATTCATTGTCGGAAACCCACGGTCGGTCTCGCTTCTCTTACCTATCCGTACCGACGATGTCTTCTATTTATCAGTATCAAGTTTTAAGGATACGCCCAGTAAGCACGATGTTCTAAAATACTGTTCTATTAATATGTATCAAGTTTTAAGGATACGCTCAGTGAGTACGATGTTCTAAAATTACTGTTAGATACGTATCAAGTAATTCTAAGGATACGCCCAGAGAGCATAATGTCCTAAAATATCACTTACTCACTTTGTAGACACAACGACAATCCAAATTGGGAGTTAAATGTACATAAGTATATGCAGCTCAAATTACAATGTTCTAAAAAGTGGCACGTGAGCGTGTAGTACATTTAAATTTCCCTTTGCTTGAATGTTGATGCTGAACTCGTTGCACTTCAAGCGCGGATCCAGGATTTGGAGTTAGGGGGGGCGCCAAAATTAGGCAAGGGGTCTGGGGGCCTGGGGGCCTGGATTTTAGAGATTTTGAAGGGTTAAAATGAGGTCTACCAAAGCCCTGGTGGGGGCCCAGGGGGCTTTCGGAAGCTATTTCTAGAGATTTTGAAGGGTAAAAATGAGTTCTACCAAGTAGACATATTTGATTTACGCTAACTTTGACAAATTTTAGGGGGGGCGCGCGCCGGGTGCGCCCCCCCTTAAATCCGCTAGCACAATAACTAAACACTTTAATTTGTGGAGGGAAAAAATGAAGCAAGCTATACTTCGATATTTCCTCATTTCCTCTTGACACCTTTAAAATCATTGATTTGCGATGTTCAATCTAGATTACTTAGCAACTGAGATTTAAAGATCTACTCAATTAATGAACTAATCATTACCATCGTAAACAAAGTAAATTTAAATTCAATTTTTTTAACAACAGAGAGTTAATCAAAATATTTACCGTTCTGGCTCCTGTTTTCTTCATCATATAAGTCTGGATGGCCACACAGTTTGGGTCGTTCTCTATCTCGATGACTTCATAGTCTTCTCTCTTCAAGGTTCCTTTCTTTATATACTTCTGGAATACTTGTTTTGCCTTCTTACAAAATGGACATGAGCTTTTGGAGTAAATCACGACTTTCTTTGAGCTAATCTTTTCCTTGATGGCAGCTTCCACAGACATGGTGATAACTTTGTGTCTAATTGTTCCACACGTGTCGTCTGCGAGCAAGTGTTTTCAGAAATGGTCAATGAAAGGATATATATATTCAATACAGAACCGTATGATTGATTTAAAAAATAACGTTTCTATTTAAAACACGTTTAAAGTTCCCGAGTCAATCCAGGTCAAAGTGGATCCACGAATTTAGCAATGTAATGGTACTTAAATATATGTCAATGTGTTTGTATTACGGCTATAGAATATTTATAAGTTTCAATGTAAAATTTTCTTAATCAAAGTCACAGCAAATTTATTTACGACAACAAAATCAACAAAATAATGGTGCATAACAATTTAATTAAATTAATTACCAAGATGGCGAAAGCACAAATAATCATAATAGAAACTGCATCATTAAAAACACGTATTAGTTTGTTTATCGTCCTTTCCAGAATATTTCACTCATAGACACCATGCACCACTGGCAGTGGAGGGCTGCAAAGAAATACGCACGCTAACTCTCGATTCCCGCCTACATTTTGGAACCATTTAATTCTATATAAATAGCAATTTGGCCATAAAATCTTTGTTTGATACAAAGAACAGTTCTATGGTAATTGATGAATTGTCTTAATACCAGCGCTAAACAGAAAATTATCCATAATTCCAGCTCTTGAAAAAAAGGGGGGTAAACGATATTTTCCGTTGAAATCGGAGTTTCAAGCATCACCATATTTTGAAATAGTCTTGGATATAATTAAATAATCCTTATATCTTTTCCTATGTCTTAGGCAAATAAATAAAACATAAATATATCAATAAAATAAAATGTTTCAGTTGTAAATCGCTTTGAAATTGATGGAAAATAAGCATTTTTATCGTTTTTTGTCAATAAACATATCCCCCCCGTGTCACACAAAAAGCTCTGGTATAAATTTGTCAAATAATATTCCATATTACCTGTAAAAAGGAAATTTTTGTGACACGTAGTCAAAAACAAAAGTTTTACCAAAATGTTACAGTTACAATGTATCTCTCTTTGTTTTCCCAAATATGTAAATAAATGTTTTATGAAAATCCATATAATTATCTATAAAAAATATTAAAAATACATCTAATATGTTAACTTTTGAAAATTGACTTGGAGGTAGGCGGGAGAACAATACTACTATCGTTCGCAGTTCTTTTACTTTGTAGTCGTCTGCTGCAACACGTGATCTGGGTTTACACGGTCTAGACCAAACTCGCGTCACGCATCGGATTCGAACTCGCGACAAAAGGATTGTCGCGAATTCAGCATAACACTAGATTTCACATACGTCCCTGACATTTATTCCAGCATGATAAAAATCACATAACATGAAAACACTTATCTTGTTCATGCAATCAACAACTTAGTTCAAGGTAAAGAACTTGTGTATCTATACGTACGAGACGGGAACTACCTTTCAGTATAGGCAAGTACTATCATTACATTTATCGATTATACCTTTCTTTCTGTTTTAACTTTGTCATAAACTGTTTAATATACATGTATTAAACAGGATTCTTATAAACTGTTAACGTTTCTGATCATATCAGACAAAAACAACAGTGTATCTACTCAGCCCAAATAAAGTGAATTCGAAAGATTTAGATATATGTATATCTGTCCTCCACAATACATTACCTTGAACGTGAAATATCTATACAAACTCAGGCGCGGATCCAGGAATTGAAGTTAGAGGGGGCGCCAAAAGTAGGCAAGGGGTCTGGGGGCCGCCTTGAGGCCCCCAGTGGGTCCAGGGCAAAGCCCTGGTGGGGGCCCAGGGGGCGAAGCCCCCGGAAGCTCTTGGGTATAGAGATTTTGTAGGGTAAAAATGAGGTCTACCAAGTATACATATTTACATTTTCTAGACGAAACTGTGATTTACGTAAATTTTGACAATTTTAGGAGGGGCGCGCGCCGGGTGCGCCCCCCCTTAAATCCGCCACTGAAACTGCTTATATAGGATAGCTAGCTGCATGCAGAACTGTATCTCTGTGAGCTAGAAAATTCGTACGGACATGTGTAGGTGTATCTGATTGGTATCGTTCGTTGTGATACATAATTAAAATTTGAAATAAATTTGAAATAAAAGAGCTTGAGCTTTCTGGCGGTTTTTTGTGTTTTCTCGTCTTACATTCCATTAATTAACCTTATACACCTGATCCTTTACCTTTCAATGGTTCGTCTAGACGTGCTTAGCCTTGAAATGTCAAAACATCTATGGTACACCTGCCGAGAAAGTCTAATTAATTATTTTTTTATCCAGTGTCATTTATAGCGGCAATAAAAGCGTGAATTATTATACAAAACGATAGTTGTGGACATTATTCTACATGTGCATTTTTTCCAGCACGTGCATTGAAATGTAGGTCGAATTTTTCGAAAATATAAGAAAAAATGTTTTATCATAAAACTTTATTGTTGATAAGTTCGAGCACATTAAGTAATTTTTGGTTTCCAACTACGGAATGTTAATACTTTGAAAGACCATTTAGTATGTCTTTGAATGGGATATACATGTATCTACGTCTGCAATAATCCTGATCTCTAGAGGAGGACTTTCCAGGAGGGGGAATCTCACACTTGAGCGATTTTCCCCTCTTTCTCTCTTGGAGTAGGATTTATCCTATTTGTCGATGTTAAAACATATCGCAGTAAAATATATATTTTGGCTAAAAGGTTCTGAGTCAACTGATTTCTGGATTGAATTGTAAGGGTTTTTTTGCCTAAAGAAAATATAGTTCAAATCATTGGTTCTCAATACAAAAATAAATTATAATTCAAAGGAAACACCTTTTTTGGAGAAATCCTACTCAATTTTGCCAGTTCTTCCAGGGGGAATTCTGCTCAAGAACCAGATTTCCCTAAGGAAAAATTTTATATTGCTGTATTAATTATATTGTTATAGCTAACAAATGAAAATAACGTCACTTTCAGATCATTAAATCAACATAACAATGGAGTTGAGCAGCTGGTTTGCCACTGTGTTACGCTGGTTCCTTCTTCTGCCGTTTATTGCTATGTCGGTGGCTAGAGATGTTTTGGGAATGTTTATACCTTCCCTGAAACCAGACCCCACTTCAAAACACAAGCCACACATGCATGGTACCGGAGAAACATTCCACAACAGATAGTTCAAGAAAACGTTCCGACAACACCAATGTGACTACAAGCTATTTCCTGTTTGCGCTTATGAATTTCTTTGTTACTAGTGCCTTGGAACATATACTTGATATAAACAAATAACATTTTTACCTCCTTATATTAAAGAGCGCGCAATGAATATAATGGCGCTAAATTTCAAAACCATTATTCGCATTTGAAAAGCAAATTCAATATTTATAACTTCTACCATGACCTGTTAAAAATAAACAATTATTGGCCATGCATTTAGGAGGAAATTTTGTTTAAATTTTTTACCCATGAACTGATATATACTGTACATATATCGCCCAAATTCTTTATTTTTGTGGACTGGCATTTACCCATTACTTGCTGCTTTACGATTTGAATGTTTTATACATGACAGCAAGATGCGTTTCGAACATTAGAGTTGATTCGTTTGTAGAATTTTGTTAAAATATTTTTACACCCTCTGCAAAGACATTTACATTATGAACTGCCTCACACAATGTCTCTTGCAAGAATTGTTTATTGCCTATATATGAATAAATGATAATGTTGCACTTGCATTTTTATTTTTCGGTTACATTGTATGCTTAAAAAGGTATAGATAAATCTGGGATTATTCGCTGTTATTTATAATTAAGTCCATGTTTGATTAAAGCCCGTATCTCTGCTTATACGTGTAGTTGGTGTCTTTGAAACTACATGCAATGCAGCATTGATATCTACGGCATGCTTCCTAAAAATGTGCAGTACACTTCTAGTGAAATAACATACAAAAATTATATACAAATTCACAACCCGTTCGATTTATATACGGACCTCCAAAACATCAGAGGTGGGATCAGATGCCATGGAGGAGTGATCATCCCCTGTCGACCAGTCACACCCGCCGTGTGCTTCTTATCATAATCGGGAAATAACGGAAAAATCCGTCGTCAATTCCGTGAATAAATAATGGACGTACAATTAGTATGAAAAACGTCAGTCAGCATTTGACTCAATGATAAATTGCATTTGCTTACAAGGTCATTGACAAAATTAAAGAATATACTATTTTGTATATTTTGAAAAATGACGCTAGAAGTTAGTTCTTTGTCAAACAAGATCTGCGTCAGCCGCTTTTTAATCATCCTCACAACGTCAGGGGTCCTGAGTCAACACGTTGCCGTTGGACACGGCAACGTGTTGACTCAGGACTATCCTCACAACGTCAGGGGTCCTGAGTCAACACGTTGCCGTTGGACACGGCAACGTGTTGACTCAGGACCCCTGACGTTGTGAGGATGCTTTTTAATCCCCGCAAGTTAGTTGTCAAGGGTTACAATCTGACCACATATCAGTACTAACACTGACATCCCCTTTCATCTATTCATGTTCCGTTGTAAGAAATGCGTAACAATATGCAAAGGATAGATAAATTTGTAAACTACTCAAAAGCTGCTCATTTCACAAATAATATGCTTTTAGCGTGTTCTGCATACATCGAGGAATACATGTCATGTACTCGTAATTATATAAAAAAAAGAAACATTTACTGTAATTTATGACTTTTTAAATAATTTATTTTACCGAAAATACAAGTCTGACATAAACAAAATTTTATTAAATTGAATTACGAAAGTAAATACAGCAGAATGGGGTAGAATGAGGTTGAAGAAACTATACTGAATAAAAATGAAAATTTAGTCCATCTGAGTGTAAAGATAGAGATATGTATTAAGCTTCAACTGAATCACAAGAAAGGTGTTTGAACATAAATAAACTTCCTGAATTGTCCACTAAGCTGTCAGGAGTGATTTGAGTTCTCCTGACGAATCCTTGGAAACGACATCGTCTCCTCCTCCAATAAATTTCCCGTTAATGAAGACACGGGGTACCTACAAATATACATTCAAGCATCATAAATAAAAGTGTTCAAAATGTACTATGTACTGGTCACTTTATTGGTACTCGATCCTGTATAATTGGGTTTTTTTTCAGTAATAACACATAGTACAGAGCATGTACATTTTTGCATTACAAATGAAAGCTAATAAAATTAGATAAGGTCATTTTAATTTTTCATTGTAATTATTGATATTCGCGTATCTTACAGTATACAGTCATGCAATTTTCAAGCAAATACGAGTTAGCTCCATATCATACTATGTGATTGGATAACAAAGTTCATTCTTAATTATGTGATTTCACAGTTTACTAATGTATTCAAGTTGAGTATATTAATATTGGGAATGAGATTTTTGAGTACTAGGGTACAGTTTTACTAGGATATTTATCAAATTGAAATCAACTTTTCAGTCAGCGATTGGTGCAATGATCATGATGACAATGTGATGACTGGATCATTGAATACTCATCCCGGAAACCTCTGCCTGACGTTAAAATCTATAAAATGGATCATTTTTTTCATGTAGCGTCACTTAACGATCAACCCATGTAATTTTAAACTGATCTGAAGATTAGTTTGACCGTCAAAGAATTATATTTAAAGAGCCATGCATGGATTCACTCGCAATCGATCGTTATCATGAAATTAATTAGAAATTGCGAAATATTAGTCTACGACCCATTTATGCTGTATATGGGTTTTTTTTTCGATAATAAAAAGTAAGATAAATGCAAAATAATTAAAGAATAAACCATTTTCCATTCTCCATGCACTACTTACAGAACTTGCTCCGGTTTTCTTCTTCATGTATTCTTGAATGGCCGAACACTGCGGGTCGTTCTCTATTTCAATGACTTCGTATTCATCTGCTTTTAGAGTTCCATCCGCTATATACTTTTCAAATACCTTTTTTGCTTTGGCGCAAAATGGGCAATAAGATTTGGAGTACACTATTACCTTCTTGGAGGCAATTTTTGCTTCGATAGTGGATTCCAAAGACATGTTAATGAAGTTGTGTCGTCACGTGTACCGGCGTAAGTGTTTTTGTTTATGTAAAGACCTAAATATTGATACTGGATGAGGACGGAATATAGAATTCCGATTTAATAAAAGTTAGAAAAGTTGCAAATATATAGCCATAGATCAAATCAAATAACAATTAATAATAATAAAACAAAAGCGTAATAAAGAAGAACTAGAGAAGAATATATTGAGAGCGGAGGTAAGAGGACTGGCCATTTTTATAGTTGTAAACTATTTGAATACTCTTTTTGTCGCCCGCGTGGCGCAATGGTTATCTAGCGTCTGCTCTAGAGTCGCGAAGTAAGGATTTGATTCGTACGTCGCGGGTTCGAATCCACAGTGGAGCGTGAAAACCGGTCCTTCGGATGAGACCGCGTATAAACCGCGGTCCGGTGTCGCAGTAGGTGTTGGCACAAAAAAGATTCCTCGTATAGCCCTGAGTGCCGATCGAGCATATAAGACAAAATTTGCAGCTCTCCACCGACAAGTGGAGGCGTCTCCATATGAGTGAAACATTCTCGAGAGTGAAAAATTCTAGAGAGGGACGTTAAACAACATACAATCGATCGATCAATATTAATTTAACTTTTTTTCCCAAATGAGTTTAAGATTATACATCATTCTGATCATCAATGACTGTTTGTCCCCAAAATATATAATATATTTGATTGACTCTAGAATAATTATGGCTTATATATTTCACATGTGTATTTCTTGTGATAAGACCATGGGCACTCCGGATAAGACCAATGTTATAGATGAAAATTTAGCCTTTTGCATGTTTTGAACTGTAAGCAAACATAATGACAAGTCAGTAACATCTAAAATAGTATAAAAATATATTACAATTTTTTCACTCTCTACCATCGGCTCATGCATTCACTGAGAGAGGAACGAACGACAGCTCTGCATGGGAGATTGCAATTTTTTATGAAAACTACCGGTATTTCATTTTTTTAAAGTAAGGGACACTGAGACACTTGCATCATGAATAATTTGATAAACTTAAAAAAAAAGTTTCGCGCCAATCATGCATAACTTTCGAGTGGGTGGGATTACATGTACATGTATGGCATTCATATTTCACAGGTTTATTCCGTGTAACCAGGCCTTTCTTTGGCCGGTGCCACCAATTTTGACCTCTTAACCTTGACATTAGAATGTGACCTACTTAAACAAAAAAATTACTACACTTTAACCTTGGCAATAACTTTTAAACAGTTGGTTCTAGGGCTTTCATACTTCACATGAAAAAAACATTAAATAATTTTAATCTTTTCACCTAAAACTCTAAGTTTGACCAACTTAAAAAAAATTAATGCTTTATTTTGAAGCCTTTTCCCATAAAAAAAACTTTACCCGTGGCCATAACTTTTGAACAGTTAGCACAGTGGCCTTCATATTTCACAGGTGTATTCCTTGTGGCAAGGCCATTCTATGGGTACCAACAATTAATTTTGACATTGACCCTTCGATTTTGACTTTTAAGAAGCATCAATATATTTTGTTATGCCCTGATAATCGAAGACTCGGGGGTATATAATTGGTTTTTGCCCTGTCCGTTTGTCCGCAAAAACTTTAACCTTTTCAATATCTTTTGAGTGTGTACTGTGGAGCTATATGACTTTCATATTTCACAGGTGTATTCATTGTGACAAGACCTTTCTTTTGTTACCACCAAATTTGACCTCGTGACCTTGACCTTGGAGTCTGACTCTCTTAAACCAAAAATTTCTCAACCTTAACCAAAGCAATGAATAGTTGGTGCTAGGGCATTCGTACTTCACATGTATATTCACTTTGATATGGCCTTTACTTGGTATAAAGTATTTGACTTTTTGACCTTGACCCTAGATTTTGGTCAACTTTTAAGGATGACGTTTACTCAGGTTTCAGATAACAGAAAGGAAATGTTATAAAGTATAGTATGTTGAATCAAAAATTGTTCTAAATGGATAAAATAAGCAAGTTTTAAATCGAAATCAATTTAAAAATTAAATATTTTATTATTTAAAGAAAATATACAGGTACAAAAGTCAATGTATGGTAATGCAGAGGAAAATCGGACTAAATTTTTAATTTTTTATTTTTGTCAACAATTTTGATTTCTTTCAAAAATAATCACGAAGTAAAGGTTAAATGTATTTTTAAACATCATTTTGCAAATATTGTATGTGTTAAAGCTCATAAATTATTTCAAATAATTGAATGCTACGAAATAAAGAAATTCAAAAATATGTACAAAAACCATTCCAGACAATATATCTCAATAATTTGATCACTGACCCCATATAATATTCATACCATGAGAATTAGGGCATCAAAAGTAATCTGAGGCTATAGATAGTTTAGAGTTCTTATCAGTCAGATTTTTGTAATATTCGATTTAAAATGGGGAAAAAATATAAATATGACAGAGGAAATTCGAACTGTATAAGAATCACATTTCTGGCCCAAACGCCAATCATTTCTTTATATGAAGCAACGCTTTTCCATTGCTATGATATTTCATTATTTAAAGAGTTTAGTTGCTTGTAATATTTTGTGTGTATAGAAAAAATTGGTCATAGTGTGAAAAATTGAGGTATTTCCCGAGAAATACTCAGGGGCCACTAGCATGAAAAGTAGGTCATTGACCTAGTTATTTGAAATTGAAATTTAACGCAAGAATTATAGGTGTACAATAGGTCGTTTTTCGTTCTTATCAGTGGAATTTTTGGTCATCTGAGTAAAGGTATACCTTAACCCAGATCATAACATTTGAACCGTTAGTACTACGGCTTTCATATTTCACAGGAATATTCCCTTAGACAAGATCTTCTTTGGATACCGATAATTTTGACTTTTGACCTAGACCTTATAAAGTCTGGCAAACTTAAAAAAAATAACTTTAATATCTCACAGGTGTATTCCTTGTGAGAAGACTTTCCATTGGGTACCAACAATTTTGATCTTTTGACTTATTTTTATGCCTCGTAATCGGAAATTTGGGGTATTATAGTGTTTATCCTGTCCGTTTGTTTGTCTGTTAATCTGTTTGTCCACAAAAAATTAACCTTGCCCATTTGATTGATTGAGACTATGGCTTTCATTTCACATCTTTCTGTTGGTACCATCAAATTTGACCTTGGAGTCTGACCCAGTTTTGACAAATTCTAACCAACTTTAACATTTGGCTATATCTTTTGAACAGTTGATGCAAGGGCTTTCATACTTCGCATATGTAATCCTTGTAACAAGACCTTCCATTGGATCTCAACAACTTTGACCCTTTGACCTTGACTTAGGAGTATGACCTACTTTAAAAGAAAAATTTAACCTTACCTACAACTTCTGAACTGTTTGGACAAGGGCTTTCATACTTCACACATATTAATGATACATGTATTTTCCCTGTGACATAACATTCTGTTATATACTAACAACTTTGACTCTTTGAGTTTGAAATACTTTTAGAAACTTTACCCTTGGCCATTATTATTTAAATGTTAGGGCTATAGCTTTCGTATTCCACATATGTAATCCTTGTGACAAGACTTTCCTTTAGAAAGCATTGCCCTCTCCCGACTCAGATTGCATTTATTGGGTCGGTAGTTTGATGGGAAAATCTTTTTTTTTCAGAAAATTTCAAAATTTTTGTTGAAAGGATAAGAGAAATTAAAAGAAAAAAAATTAACTTGTCCTGAATGTGAAAAAAAGTTGGGGCTTAAGTCATCTGTCAGAAACAATTAAAAGTTGCTCATGTTATCAATTTCTTAACCAATGAGATTTTGAGAGACCCTAATTATGTAGCCTTGAGAATGCCACACCTCACCGAAAGTCCAAGGATGATTGTCAATTGTACTTTTCACTGACATAATTAATGAGGACCATGATTTTACACAATTCTTTATTGCCATTGTAATCATTATTAGTAATAAAGGAAGCGACTGTATACAGGGTTATTTTTGCCCCACTTTATTTTCGCCCTTTCACACTTGCAAACAATTTTGCCCCTTTTTAAATTTGCCCAGTCAGTTTTTTGTTAAAGAAATTATACTGTATTCTTTAAATTTGCCCGTCTTACCGAAGTTTAGGGCGAAAATTTCCCTGTATACAGTAATCATGACCTTTTTTTCTTTTAGAGGGGTTGATTAGCTTGTAATCAGAAAAATCCCTAATTACATGACTCATAATTACACTGTATGTTCCTCACAACAAGTACAATTTAGAAACAATGAACAAGTCATGCCACCTTTAATGGGATTAACCAGGATAAAAATGAGAGCTAATGGTTTGAATTGTTTCTTCAATGGACCAACCCTTATTTCCCGATCATGACAAGAATCATACAGCAGGTGTGACCATTGGCCATGCAGGGGATGCTCACTCCTCCCCGACACGATTCCAAATCTGTTTTATAGGTCTCTGTTTGCTCTACTCCTGCATGTAGCATTTTGTAATGTTTAATAGACTTTGAGCTTGTATTTTGTTTTATAATATATTTCATTCTTTCTTTGGTAAATGATTAAATGACAACCCTAACTGGAATATATGGTTTTCAGATTCAAATAAAGTATGATCTATACTCTATAGACAAAATTCCTAGTACATGTATTATCAAAATTCTGCAAAAACGTTTTATAAATCTTTGCAACATCTTTGTGTGTGTCCTTTACTAGTATGTCCTCTAGGTCATGTATATAACACAATGAATTTTCTCAAAGAAAAAAAAAAAGGTTGGGGTGACTAAAAAAACATCAAGACTTGATTACTTTAGTATTTTTTTTATTTGTATAACGTCCTCACTTAGATGTAGAGGCGGACATTGAGGTCCGACTGCCAGACCTGCTCCTCTTTCTCTCCTTGGCTTCCTTTAGTCTCTGTGCCAAGATTTTGGCGTACTCGGCGGCATCTTCCCTGCGCTTGGCGTGCTTCTTCTTCTTCAGAGCCAGCCTGTGTCTCTTCCTCTGAAGAACAACTGGGGTGACCAGTCTCTGGATTTTAGGGGCCTTTGTCTTGGCCTT